GTCACGAGGCCACTGACGCCCGTTCGCAGTGTGGCGAGGTCCTGGCGTTGCGCGGCTAGCTGCGTTTTGGCAGCAGCGAGCTTGGTCTGGAGCTGTGAACTGCTCTTGGAGTTTGTTTCGAGCTTCTTCCGCAGGTCCAAAATCGATTTTTTCGCTTGGTCCTTGAGCTTGTTGAGTTCAGCTTCTGCCGTTTGCTTGAGTTTTCGTGCTTGGCGACGTACGTTGCCTCCATCTCGGACGCCGCCATCTTGGCCGCTGCGAGATCGGCTTCGAGCTGCGCGATTTTTGCCTGCGTTAGCCCATGAAAAACATCCTTCAAGAAGGGTGTGGAAATGTACTTGATCGGCTGCAGACGTGGTGGGCGGCGCATCCGACGTTGGTGCAGCAACAACGGCGGCAGCTTTCTTGGCTGCTGTGAGCTCATGCTCCAGGGACGCAATCTATATAGCACCAATATGTAATCTGTGCACGACCCACAAACTACCTTTTTGGCCGCCGCTTGGAGCTCGCCTTCCAGCTACACCGTCGACATCATCGCATCATCGCCACCAGCATCATCCTATTGGATACCTTTTTTTGCGCCGCTTTGGCAGCGGTATCAAGACTGGCATCCGGCGCGGCAGGAGGTAGTGGCGCGTCCTTGGCTTTGCTCAGCTTGGTCTGGGCGTCTTTTAGAAGCGCGAGGAGGTTTTGCTTCTCCGACTCGAGCGTCGCAACCTTCTTTTGGAGACCGCTTGCGTCGCTACTGGAACTCTTTGCAGGCACCGCGGGGTCAGCGCGCAGCTGCCTCTTGAGCTGGAGGTTCTGCTCCGTGAGGGCGTCAATCTCGGCCCGGAGATTCCCAAGCGGGTCGTCGCCACCGTCGTCCTTGGTGGAAGCCGCCGACGCGGATGTCTCGGCGACTTCCGTGTCGACGGGGTCAAAGGCGATGCCACCAGCGCGTAGCTTGGTCTCGTGCTGCGAGATCGCGTACAACAGGTCCTGCACGAGCAACTCTTTGGCCTTGAGTTTCTTGTCGAACGTCGTCTTGAGAATCGCGGTCTGGGATTTGCTCAGGAGCTGCAGTTTGCTCAGCGAGCTCTGCGCCTTCTCTTCGTTTTCGATTGCGACGCGGAGTTTGGCGAGCGCGTCTTCGCACTTTTGCTGCCACTCGGCGTTGTTCGAGGACGCCTTTGGCTGCTCGAGCATCGCGTCGTCGTCGTCAAGGCCGAGTTCTTCCTTCATCTGGCGCCGCCGGACCGCGTCCTCTTCGTCTTCGGACTTCGCCTTGCGCACGAGCTCGGGGTTGTACGTCGCCGGCCGCGAGAACGAGATGCTGCGGCTCGACATGTCTGAAAAGTGAGCTTTTGCGTCGTCGCCAAGGTATTTTGAGCGCGAAACGCACTTCGTCGCAACCGCCCGCGAAACCACGTGCATGACGTGGCAGCACGACAGAACATTATGCGTGCCTGGACCCTTTCGTGGGAGTACGACTTTCATCAAGTGTCGACACGCGGAGCTAGTGGTGGCTGCAATCACATATATCCCGAGCCCACCGACTTGAGCGACCGTGTCGTCAGGATGGCTTCCGTGCAGAGCCGTCGAGGACAAGAGTGAATACATCTCACGGGGTGTTTTCAATCCTACTCGACCGCCTTGTCTAATCCTACTGGGTTACTGGAGCACGATGCCGACCTTGCCGTGGGGCATGCGCGGGCAACGCCAGTTGAAGAGGTAGTACTGGAGCTCGCCGCTGCCAATGCCAAACTTGAGTTCTTGGAGAAACTCCGTGTTTTCCATGAGGTTGAGTGCGTTGAAGACGTCCTGCTCCTGCTCCTTGGCGAGGATGAGGAGGTCCTCCATGAGCTTCACGAGCGGCACGGTCGTCGCGACGTTGTAGTACGAGTACGCGGCGTTGAGCGTCTCGTACGTCTTGTTGCCGATGATCGTGGACGGCAGGTGGTAAAAGCTCGCCAGGTCCGTGACCTTGTGCGTCGCCGGGTCTTCGACGACATACGAGCTGACGACGCCGGCGCGCGGAAGGAGCCAGTGGGCCACCTCGTGCTCGTTCATGTCGGCGACGAGGTCAAACTTGGCGAGGTACGTGCGAAGAAGCGCCGTGACGCCTGCCACGTGGCGCGGTGCCATGGGCACAAGGTTTGGCGTCGACGTCGTATCGGGAAGCTTGAGCTGCTTGATCGTGCGAGCCATTGACGTGTTGGGTGCAAGGTGGGAGAAGCCAACGTCGATAAGCTTCTTCGGGTGCAGCGATCGGTGGTAATAGCGGCAGCTCGAGACCGGCATCGGCAAGACGACGCCGGCCGTGTAGATGGCCTGCCAAATGTTGCGCAAGTTGACGCGGCGCGTGATCTCCTTGATGAGCACAGGCGCGAGACGCTTCGCGCGAAGCTTCTTGTGCACGCACAGGTAGTTGATTTCGGCCATCGGCATCACGTTCTCGTAGGCACGGATCTTGGTGGGGAAGCCGCCAATGAAAGCCATAAGCTTGCCAGTCTTCTCGTTGCGGACACCGACGTGCCAGTCCTTGTGGAAGCCCGGCGAGAGGAGAACCCACTTGAGGAACTCCATCGAGTAGTCGAAGCGGAACATGTTGTCGTCGTCTTCGACGTAGTTTTGATACAAGAGGTCGTAGAGTTCCTTGAGCTCGACCTCGTTGGTCAAGTCAAGGTCGCACCAGACGAAACCAGCGGGCATGTTGAGCGGCGTCTTGCGAACATCGTCGACAGTCTTGGGCGCGTCGATCGCACCGTGCTCCGTGGGTTGCTCCGTGATGGCGGGTACGGGCTGCGTCTTCCAGAACTTGTAGTCATCGTTCTGCTTCTTGATACGCTGCTCGGCCTGCTCCTGCGAGACGAGGTTGAGCTGCTTGAGCACGCGCAGGAACTCTTCCTGCTCCTCGACCGTCACGAGCTCCGCCTTGTTCTTGACCTCTTCGATCGCGGCTGCCACTTGCTGCTTGTCCATCGTCGTTGACGCAATATGGGGAATGCTCGCCACACGTGGTTGGCTTGCGCTATCCGGAATCTTCGATTTTTGAGGCTTCAACCCTCCGTATCCGGATGGTAATTGCGTGCACCTAGACCCTGCCCAATGCGCTGGCGCCAACGCACATCAACCCGTCGGACACTCGACCGATCATTCGGACACGCGATGACGTTGTTCTGAGGCACCGAGTCGCATCTTGAGGCTTGCGCGATATTCTTCTCCGGATAATCCAACAGGCCCTCGAATCAAGCGCGAACACGTCAATGACAAGAGGGAGCCACGACAGCGGGCAGCTGCTGGGAACACAAATCAAACACCAAAACACTGCATCAAATGGAAATGTATTATACGAGCCTTGCTTGAGCTGGCCTTTATCGTTGCTGTTTGTATGAGCCATCGTGATGCAGGATGCATGATGCAGGAATGACGCTGGGAACACCCAACAATTCGCACTTGACCTCGCTGCGACATTTTGCAATGGCCGTCGTCTGCTTTGGATCGGGCCGCGTGGCCTTCCCCTTCGTCGAGAAGATCACGCGCAACGCTGGCACGCAGCTGGTCCTTGTCTCGGACGACGCTCGACAACTAGCGCAGCTGCGCGACAAGGCCGCTGCCATGGGTCGCTTCAACATGCAGACGCACGAGCTCAGCATCACGGACGTCGCTGCCGTCGTCGCGTGCCTTGAGCAGTTCCAAGCAACGTGCGTCGCTGCGTTGGTGCCGGAAGATGCGCAATTTGCAATCGCACGCGCCTGCATCGCGACCAAGACGCCTCTCGTGACAGCGAGCTACGCGTCGCCACGTCTTCGAGTGCTCGAGTCGGCCGCGGTCGCCGCCGGCATATCGATTCTCTGCGAATGCGGTCTTGATCCTGGCCTCGTAAGACGATTCCGCCAACATTTCTTCACCTCACAAAACGGGTGATCGCTAGGACCACATGAGTGCAATGCACATGATCGCTCGCGTCCACGCTGCAGGCGG